TAAGATTAGAAATGCTATAAGTTCCGATCCTCAGTTGTCCTTTTTTTGTAATTTTAGTTTACAACGATAAAATTTTTCTTTATCATTTTCTCCATTAGGTTCTAGATCTCCTTGGTAAATCATTAATGAATTTTCTTCGTAATCATTATCTTCTATTAATTTGTCTTCGTTTTCTTCTGAATAATCATATTCATCAACTTCACTGACTACTTTTTTCTTTTTAATAACCAACTTGCTAGGATATAGGCTAATGTGCACTATTCCTAAGGAATTAGTCGGTAAATGACAAACTCATAAAGCAGAACTTCTAACATTAAGGTCAGGTTTTTGCCAACGCTTTGGGATTTTTAAGTTTACTAAATCCTTTTCTTGCAAGGTAAATTCTTCAGTTATTTTGTTAAGAGTAACAAAGAAGAGTAATTGACGAGTCATTGACCATTTATGCTTATATAAATATTTTGTTAACTTTGTTAACTTTTAATTGGTAAATTGCTAATAGTGTTTCTAATATTTTCTAAACTTTTATGAATATTACTCATTTCCATAAAACTATTATCCGACTTATCTTTGATTTGTTCCAAATTATTACTTATTCTTCTTAATTCACTACCTAAAGTATTAGCTGTTACTTGACTAACTTCATTTAAATCAATTCTTAATTGGTTAATTTTTTCTCTTAACAACCTTTTCTCGTTGAAGTTGTATCTTTGAATATTTCGGGGATGTTTGAAATTTTCTATATCTTGCCGACGGTAATATTGTAAAAAAGTGTGTATATAGTGGAGTAACCAATTACAAACTGGTTTAGACTCATGACCGCAGTCAGTTAATTTCTTTTCTCTTTCCTCTTTTAAAATTTTCTCTTTTTCAGTTTGTTCATTACTTTTTTTTAGAGCTAATTTAATCCTTTCTTCCTTTTGGCTAATTCTTTCCGGATTAGTTTCTTTTTGGCAGTGATTGCACCATACTTTGCTTTCTAAACCTAATCTGCTGTGTGCATAGTCTTCTCTTTCTTTTTCATTCCAATTTTTTCAAATTTGTAATATTTGATTAGTCTTAGAAACAAATTGCTTCTCAAAATTATAAAAGTTAATTTCTTTGGCTAATTCAAATAATAATTCGCGGTCTTCATTTTCCTCAAATTTTCAGCAATAATGATCGCGATTGCTACTCGATTTTAATCAGTTAATACGATAATTAATGCTTTCGCCGTATTTCTTTAAAGTTTCTGGACTTCAAGTAAAATTCAAACTAGTTCCTAGTCTTCCTCATCTTTTCATGGCGGGATCAACTGTTTCATAATTATTAGTTGCGACAATGAAGACGCTGTTGCGATCTTGTGATTTAACTGCTAAACCTCTACTTTCTGCTCCGGTTGAAAAGAAATTTTTTAATTCTTCTAAATTATTTTTCGCTTGCGAACTATAAGTTAAAGGGTTTTTGGCTTGGTCTCCTTCTTCTAAAAAGACAATATAAGGTCATTGACTGTCTTTTCCGACATTTCCTTCTCAGTCAGGATTTTTAAAAAATTCCTCCTTGGCTTTTTGAATACTAGTAACCAGTTTTTCATAGGTTTTAGGCTCGTTCTTACCAGTACTCATAATATCAGCTCCTTTGATTTCAAAAACCGGAATACGAGGTTTTTTAATCCCTCTTAATGCCCTCGCTTTCTCTTCTGGGTCTTCGGTCATGCCGCTGTTTGGATCGTTCGGATCATTTGGTCGATAAATTTGCGGTTCTTCACCATAACGTTTAATTAATAAATGATTTAATTCCCGCACAAATTCAGTTTTTCCCGTACCAGGTGCTCCATAAAGAATACAATTATTTCTGATTAATCAAGGATAATTATGACTTTCGCTTAACCCTTGTAAAGGCGAAAGTTTATGTTCCTCATTGTTTATCCATTCGTCAATATCGTTGGCAATCTGAGAAAAGTGTTTTTTGGTTTCTTCGCTAAAAAGCAAAATTCCCTCTCCTATTCTGATTCCGTTCGGTGAAGTATTTGGAATTTCATCAAAACCATTGATTCCTAAATATCCTTTTTTATCATCCCATTCATAAAGAGTATAGTTTCCTTGATAACCTCCCAAGTCTCTTTTTAATTTTTCGATTTCTAAATCATCTTTTTCACTGTTTTGCTGTTTGTTATCTTTGTTATTTCCTTGCCAAGTTACAAAAGCCTGGATTCCCATGATTGATAAATGCAAAACCACTGCTATTGCGACCAAACTGAATACAAACTTTTTAAAAATTCCCATGGTTTACTTATTGTTATTAAATGTACTCTTCACTAAGGCATAAGCAACTCCAAACATAGCAATTGTGACAATACTAAATCCCACAATTTTTAAAATTTCTTTAACTCGTGGAGTAAAAAGTTTTTGTTCTTGAATTTTCCTTTTTTCATCCTTAAATCTTCTGTTTTTTCCCGCTCAATTACCTTTACCCTTAGATTTTCCTAAATTAGCGAAAGCATTTTTATTAGACGAAGCATTGAAAAGATTATATTTAGCATTGCGAAGAATATTTTCAGTTTCGGGATCAAAAAATCATCGAGCATCGTGACTATCTAACTCTTGATCTAAATTTGTCATCTGTTCTTCGTTTTGATCAATAATTTCACTTATTTGTGCCTTTCTTTCAGGAGAGGTGTTAGGATCTTTATATTCTTGGAGCAAATTATCGTTTTCTTTTCTTAAATCTTCAATTTGTCTTAGTTTGGTTTGAAATTCTTGGACTTGCTTTCAAGTGATTTTTTCCACTTGTTTAATATATTGCTCAATCCCTTCGGTAAAATTTTTAAATCTTTGCTCAACATCTTCTTGAAACAAACTACTTTGTTTTTCTACTCCAATACAAGTAGCAAAAAGAAATTTTTTTGGATCGCAACAATTATCTTTTACTTTGTGAAAATCATTTAATAAACTGTTCTTTTTCTTATTAAATTCACTCTCACTAATATTAGAACTTAATCTTAATTCTAAATGTCTTTTTTCTAGCTTATCAATTCCCTCAAAGTTGCGGTTAATTTGAACTATTTCCTCAGACAAGACATGATAACCTCCATAATTACACTGCCCGCCATTGTAATAATTGCCAGGACAATCCCCGCAATTTTCATGACCGGTAATTTCCGAATAAGTTCCTTTACGTGGTCCTACTTTGCAACCACTTTGCTCGATCATCTCTTTTCAATTGATTAAACTTTTGAAATTTTCCTCAGTGATTTCGTAATTAGACATGGTAATTTAACACGGTTAAAAGTATTAATTTTTATTGCCTAAGAGTTTAGTTAACCATTTTCATAAAAAGTTAAGCAACATAATGGCAACTATTAAGCAAAAAGCAATAATCCCTCAATTCTTAAAACTTGATAAATTAGGAGAATCTGCTTTCGCTTGAAATTGTTGTTGAGTTAATGGCTGAGTTCCAAAGCTTTCCAAAGCTTTTTTCAATTTACTGACTTCTTCAGCCATGGTTTGACTATTTTTGGCAATCTCTTTTTTGTTCTCGCTCATCATTTCCATTAAACGAGCTTTTTCGGCTGGATCATTCGAATTTTTAATTTGTTCAGCAATTTTTTTATTTTCTTCTTGGAGTTCTTTATTTCTTTCTTTTAGATCTTTAAAAAGTTCATCAGTTTTTTCTTCCATGTATTTTTTGTTATCCTCTCGCCACTTTAGCCATTCTTGATGTTGTTGATCGGGAGAAACACCGGCTTGTTTTAAATCGTTACTCGGAGTACTACCTCATTTGCTAACTAGCGGTTTAGCAACAAAAAAAGTAGTTATCCACGGAGCAGCTGCTTTGATCACAGGAACCACCGCTTTAATAATCGGTAAAAGTCAAAATGCCATAGTTTGCTATTCTGTTGGTCAAATACTACGAGAAATACTTCTAAAAATCCCGATACAGAACTTGTAAGCAAGTCCGATAGCTAGTAAAAATCCCCCAATTCATAATCCATTATTCAAACTTAATTTGTTAGGCAGGAGTGGTTTTCAACCTCCTCATTCTCCTTTATCTACTGCTTTTAAATCATACAAATTAGCCTCTAATTCCGCTAACTCTTTGATTTTTTCATTTTTAGCATCTAACTTTTCTTGGGCTTTATCTGCTTTATTAGTATCATTTCCACTTAGAATATCCTTGCGTTCTTTTTCTAATTGTTTAATTTCTTCTTTCGAAATTTTAACTTTCTCTTCTCCCTCTTTAATCGCTTCTTTAATTTCCTGCTTTTCCAAACCTTTGACGGCTGAACTATTGGCAGGACAATCCAATTTATCCTTGATTATTTTACTATAGGTTTGGTAGGCAACAAATCCTACTGTTCCAATTACTAATAATTCTATGATCATAACTTTTATTTCTTACTTGTTCCCGTTAGGGATTTACTTACTTTTTTTGGCATGTTTTTATATATTATTATTTATTAGGTAATTCATAGGTATTAAATTGCTAAAAAATATATATAAATAGTTTTAATAGTATGAATTGGTCAAGCTTTAAGCAATATTTAGAAGAAAATATTTTAAACGAAATTACGGAATCACAAAGTTATATTAAAAATTATTTTCTAAAAGATAAAATTAAGAATAAATATTCCCTTGGTGATGAAAGTGATAAAAAATTGCTAAACGCACTTACTAATTTAATTGATAGCATTGATAATAGTGAAGATCATCATCCACTACCAAAATTTTCTACTGAAAGAGTTGGTTTAGATGGCACCAACAAAGAGGTCAGTAAAAATTGAAAAGAATTATTTCCTAATCGCCATAAAACTTTTTTTGGTTCAACCGACAATAGCGAGGTAATTGATGCTAGCACTTTTAAAATCTTAGAATCAATTTACAATGACTTTATTCGTCCAAATAAACTAGCTGAAAGTCTTGATGAAGAGCAGATAATCAAATTTATTGCTGGTTCGGCAATTAATCTTACCTATGATGCCATTAAAAACCAAGGAATTGACAAAATGTTAGAGCAATGATTAGCGGATTATGCTAAATTAAGCGAAGAAGACAAAATCGAATTGCAAAAACAACAAAGTTTAGCTAGTCAGTTTTTAGGTTTAATTAAAGAAGAAGAACAACGTCGCCAACAGAAAAGTTCAAGTTGATTACCTAACTGACCTTGAAAAGGTATTGCGTGATATGGAGGAGGAGGAATGTTAATTGTTTTAGTAGTAGGTTATCTGTGAAAGAAATTTAAGCATTAAAGATGATGACAACCCTAGTCTCAATATTTTTAAAAGTAGAAAATGATTAGATTTGAAAACTCTTTTGAAACCCAAAGTATATTAACAATTAGTAAAGCTTTGTTTCATGAATACTTAAAAGGAATATATAAAGACCAGCCTTATTGAGATCATGGTTCATATGATTATCAGCAAAATTCAACTAGATCTGTAGATAAAATTTGAAGTCTTTTTACAAGCAATGATACAATTAGGACTGTTCCTATTATTGTTCCTTTTATCAAAACAGATAGATCAAAACTTAGTTTAGATGCTGAAAAATTATTCGATTTGGGCTTTTATGGATGAAGTAATAGTCCTAATTACGATCAGTGCTGTGAACCTCTTCATCATTTTCCTACCTTTGTTAAAGCTTTTATTGATTTTTTACGCCAAAACAATGTAACCGTAGAATTTCATATTCTCGATCCATTAGGTTTTTTTACTCTTGTAGACGAACTTGGTAAAGAATTTAGAAAATTTGAAAAAGATGGTCGAAAAATAACCGAAATTCAAGAAAGTTTAAACGGCCAATTAACAAGTTTAAGAACAGAAAAAGAAAGAGAAATAACAGAACTTAAAAATAAAGGTTCTGCTGATCAAACTAGAATTAGTCAGTTAGAAAAAGAAATAAAGGATTTAGAAGAAACTCAAACTAATTTATCAAGAATTAACGACCAATCAAGGAAACAGATTAGCGATTTACAAACTGAACTTAATGAGATTAAATCTCAAAAGACTGAGCTAGAAAATAAACTTCAAGATCACGAAACTAACCTAATTAATACTAAGAGATTATTGGATCAAAAAAATAGCGAATTAAACCGAGAAATTTCAGAAGTAGAAAAACAAAAAAAACTACTTAGCGAAAAAGAACAGGAATTAATCGATCAAAAGGAAATTTCTCAACAAAACAGTGAAGAAATAAAGCAAAAAGAGAGTGAGATAAACGATTTAAAAAATGTTTTATCAACCAAGGACAGAGAGTTAAACACTAAGAATGATGAATTAAGTTATTCAAGCCAAATTCTAGTTGATTTAAACGAAGAAAAAGAGCAACTAGATCAGGAATTAAGAATCACTCAGAAAAAAATTAAACAATTAGAACAGAAAATTAGTGACCTAAAATGCAGTTCAGATCAAGAGACAAAAAATTTGAAGTCTCAAATTAATCAACTAAACAAAGCACAGAAAGACTTACAAATTAGATTGGATAATGAAATTCAAAAAAATAAGGATCTTCAAAGTAAATATAACCGATTAGTAAAGAGTGAGGAAGAGCAAGTAGAATGCAGTTTTTGAAATACTATCAAAACTCCTTTACTTTATTTGGGAGGGGGAATAATTGTGCTTATTGGATTTAATTTTATTTACAGTAAATTACGAGCAGAAAAATAATCAAGCTATGAAAATCTTAAAAATATTAATTTGTTTAATAATTATTCTCCTTTTAGGTAAAGCAGGTCTTTATTACTTATCCAACCAAACCTCAATTTCTAATCCGGAGGAAATTCCTGATAAACAACCACTTCCCCAACTTACTCCCCAAGAGCAGATAATTATTAAACTTTCAAATATTCATGACTCGCTTGATTGTCCTTACCAAAAAGCTGGGATTATTTTTTTAATTAGTTCTCTACAAGATGCTAAATCCCCTTTTGATAGGAAACTAACTAATTTAAATACTTTTTTAACTGATTCTCAAATAACTTGATCGGAAAAAGTTAAACGAGAATTTAATTCTCTAATCGAGAAATGGAAACAAGAACAACCCGTTCCCGAATCAACACTCTCGGAAATCAAAAAACAAATTCTAACTCAGTTGGATATTTGACAAAAATCTGCTCCCAAATCTTTAAAGGGAACAATCAAACAAACTATAAAATCTCTAAATTCTAATTCTAACTTAGCCGAACAAATTAATGATTTAGAACACTTGTTAACTCACTATGGTCGAGATCAAGTTAAGTTATCATCTTTGCTTACTAAATTAAAAGAGGTTAATTAGTATGATAAAAAAAGTACTTAGCGTAGTGGTCATTGGCGGAATAGCCTTAGCAGGACTTGGTTTTCTTTTTTTGCCAAAAACTACTACTAATAATGGACTAAATGATCACGAACAACAAACAGATGAAAAATGGTTTTCTTCTAAACGTTGGTTAACTGATCGAGAGATTGATTGAGCAGTTTCAAAATTAGTCAAGAACGATAAAGTTAAAATCCTTCCCGCCCACCAATTTCACTATGTGAAAGAGACCAAAGGAAATAATGAGGCCCAAACTTACTTAACTTTTCCAGAATTACTTAGTCAAATAAATGACATTAACAAAGAATTAATTTTTATTCCCGTGAATAATCCTGATTTTCATTGATCGCTACTAGTTTATGAAACAAGAGCTAAGTTTTTTTACCATTATGACACCTTAAAAGGGGCTAATTGAGATTATGCTAAATCTTTATGTGAAGAGTTATTAGGATTTTTACTAAAAGACCAAGAAATTCCTAGTCATCATCTTAAAATACGACATGAAATTAAACAAGGTAATGGTTATGACTGCGGAGTCGCTATTATTTCTCTAATTAAGAGAATTAACGAAAAATACAGCGGAGATCTAAGTAGTATTGATCTAGGAAAATTTGATTTTAAGAAAGATCGCTAAGAATTAAGAAGTAATTATTTGCACGAAAAATGGAAGAAAATAATTTTAAAAAAAATCACCTAAAAAGAAAACAGTAAAATAATTCATTATGGTAAACGCCCAAGAATGACTAGATGAAAATTGTTCCAAGAAAAAGAAAATAAGGGAAATTGATGAATGAAGAGGGGGTGCAAGAACTGAGGAGGGAATGGTGGGAGAATTGATCATTGCTAATTTCCCTAATTTAAAGAAAATAAATGTATCGGGAAACATACTAACTAAACTTCAAGTCAAAAATTGCCCAAAATTAACTGGATTAATTTGTTATGAGAATCAACTTAACGAGTTAATTATTATTAATTGTCCTAATGTGCAAGAAATATTCGCTTCTAGAAATCAATTAACTAGTTTGGATTTGAGTAATAGTAAGCAATTGGAGAATTTAATCATTCATAGCAATAACTTTTATCAAGATTTATCTTTTTTAAGCCATCTAGTAAATTTAAAAGAACTTATTTTAGAAGGCAACCTTTTCTTTGGTTCTCTAGAACCTTTGCGGAATTTGAATAAATTAGAAAAGCTTTGAATTTCGGATACTAATATTAGTCACGGTTTAGAATATTTACCAAGGAGTGTAACGAAGATTCATTGCTTCTTTTCAGAAAAATTCCGTGTTGGTGATATTTGAGAAGAATTACAGTCTTTTGATAATGACATAAACAAATGAAGAGAAGTTAAGATAGATAAAAAACTCCCGTTACTAATTTCGCCTTTTCTTCCTCCCCAAATAATCGGTGAAACCAACCAAAAAAGTAAATTTGCTAAACTAGTAGCGCAAGTTCAAAGACAAAACCGCGAGAACAAATTACTAGCTAATATTTCAAAAATTAACTATGATAAAATTCACTTTGAAAATTGGTCTAGAAACAATAAAAGAGAACTTTCTTATGAACAACTGCCAACTCGACTTTACAATATTAAAGAAAATAGGTTAGAAGAAACCAAGAATAATTCTAGTATTAAGAGTTACGCTATTCTTTCTTATGTTTGAGGTAATCCGAACATAAAAGCTACCGAAGAAATGGAAAGTTATTCGTGGTGAAAAAATGATCTAACAGTCTCAGGTAACAAATCTTTACGAAAAGCTATTCAAACTTGCAACTTACTAGGTATTAACCATATTTGAATAGATCAATTATGTATTATTCAAGGCAACAATGAAAAATCATGAAAAGATAAAGAAAATGAAATTCCAAGAATGAGACAATATTACAGTAATGCTGAAGCAACTTTGATAGCTCTGAATGATGAATTGGGTGACTTGAATATTGACTTAATGGAAATGTTAAGTAAAATAGTTAGTTCCGAATGATTCACCCGTTCCTGAACTTTTCAAGAAGGTTGATTAAGTAAGCATACTATCTTTATGTTTGATGACAAACTAATTGATGGAAGAGCAATGGCGGGAACCTGAGCTTTAAATCAACTTTCTTATGTAGATGGTGGTAAATATCTAAATAGATCAGAGTTTAACCGAGGAACTAAAAAAATAGCAACCCCAGTAGGCTGAGTTTATTATCGAGATGGTTACACAGAAAATGATAAAGTGAAAATGACTTTGTCTCAAGCTCTTAAGGAGATAAAAAAAAGAGGAAGGAGTGTTCCGATTGATGGCGTTTACTCAATATTAGGTTTGTTGCCTTATGGCGAACATGTGAAAGTTGACTACAACTTAGCTCCCGAACAAGCTTTGTATGATGTGATGAAAATAGCATTCGGACACAGAAGTAAAATAGAGATGTCAAATTATACGTTGACCGAATTTCCAAGAAAAGAAACTGTTAGAGAAATTTTGCCCGATGGAAGGCTAGTTATTGAATATAGAGAAGAAAATGGCTATGGTGAGCCAATAGCATGACATGGCGAAAGTAATAAAAATCCTAGTTTAAGTTGGATGCCTCAAATTGATAAAAATGGTTCGACTAGTGTCGAAGGAGGAATAGATATTAGTCTCAATGATGTATGTGATTATTTTGAGGAAGGAAAAGGTCTTGTATTGTTTTCTTCGCAAAGTTATATCATATGTGAAGTAGGTTCTAGTATTCAAAAACTAGAAGGGGGATTTGAAACAGAAGCAGGTCTTTACAAAAAGGATGTAAAAGTAAAAACTGAGATAGTTAAAGCAGATTACGAAAGTGAAGAATCATGAAAAAAGCGTAGAGAAGAGTGAGAACAAGAAAATGAACCCATTGAAGTATCTTTGTTAGGAATTCAGAAAACTTTGGAATTGGTTAAGGAAAATAGATATTTAGTAGTACCAAGTAGATACATATGAATAAGCAAAAAGCAATTTGCTCTCCTGCTAGAAGACACAGGAGAAAAATGACTAGTCAAAGAGAGCGATAAAAAAGAAACAACTATTTATCGGCGCTTAGGTTTAGTAGAATTAGGAAATGATAAATTACAAGGAGGAGATTATAAACAAGTAGTGATCGGAGCAAAAAATTATCAGGTGGAATCACAATACCAAGCCCGAATTGAGATTATAAAGTAAGTTTCTGTTTTTTCTATAAAGGTTAAATTTTGTGCAATATTTTAACTTCAGAAACTACTTTTAAACATTGAGAGCATTTTACTTTCATATCTTAATGTATTGTCTCGTCATGTTTTTTACTACTTATCATATTTTCTTATTTGAAAGCAATCCATTATTCCTAATATATAAGGTTCATTGTCAGTCACACACCACACCAATTTATAGGCTTTAACTCCCTTATAAGTAATAGCAAAGTAATAAGTGTATTGATAATTACGACCATCGGCTCTAATATTGTCCTCGCCGTTTAACTACGGAACCAGTATTTTTCTAATTAAATCATCAGTGATTAACTTTTCGGTTAATGCTTTTTCTGATAACTTAATTCCTTTTTTCTCTAATGCTTCTAAATATTCTTGATTATGCTTTTCGTAATAGGGACTAATTTCTAATTTAGTGAAGTGTTGTCTATTAATCACCAAATCATATTTATAAAATCTTAGATTAGCGGGCTTTTGTGGAGACTTTTTGCTTCGCTGATTGTTCCAATTCTCAATCATATTTACTATTGACTTCCACTTCCAAAGGCATTGCTAATTCTTCCGTGTAATTTACCAATTCTTCCAAATCTAACTCATCAATGTGGCAAAATAAAATTTTTTCTACTTCAAATCCACAAATCTTACTTGAATAAGTTTTTGTTGTTCGATTTTATCCTTTTCTAACTTTTTTACTAATACTAAATACTGTTCTCCATTTTCTAATTCCAAAGGTAAAATTTAGTGAAGAATTGAAAAAGGAAATTTTTAAGAGGAAATAGATTTAGCAATTGATTTGTGCTTAGCAACTTCTTTGACTGGCAAATCAAAAACAATCCGATCATACAGAGCAACAGGTTTGATTTCTTTACCAGTTTTTTTTAACTTAATAATCCCCATTCCTTCTAGTATCTTAGCATCTCGTCAAACATTGCCATAATCTTTGTTAAGTACTTGGGCTAACTCAGTCAAAGAATTAGGCTTTTTTTCAACTAAGGTGTAAAAAATATCTCACCTATTTTTATTGATGCTTTCTAGCAAAGCTTCTATGTGGGGCGAACTAATTTCATCAGGTTTAACTGAGACTAGTTTTCCTTCGGCCGCTTGCTTAAATTCATTAAACATTCTTTCAATGCTACTATTAGGGTCATATTTAAAGGTAAATGTTTTCGCTGTCATAATTTTATAGTTGATAAAGGAATCGACCAAACTTTTGAATAGTTTTTTGATAAAATAAATCCAATGATTTTTCTAAATTTATTCAAATAAAAGACTCTTCCTTGCCGTTAACATGAAAATGCGGACCTTTCCTGTGATGATTATCGAATAATACCTTTTCTTCTGGATCATCTTGATTAAAGGCAATTCAACTAAACTTATAATCTTCTGGATATTCTTTTTTCTCAATCTTCGGCAATCTAAATAACTTCATTTCAACTGTAACTCATTTACCCGAACTCATTCAAAATTTATCTTTACGGTAATATTCTAGTTCGGGTTCTATTTTCACCATATATTTATTTTATGTATTTAAAAACATAAATGGTTAGTATTTTTAAATATAACTCTGCTTTGGTCGCAAATATTTCAAACTTTTTAACCAGTAAGAATCATAAGTATTCAAATACTTTTTGGGAACAAAAATAATAAATTCTTGTTCAGTTTTGTTATTTCCTCACCCGGCTGATTCTCACAATACACAACGAGTATAAATTCCTTCATCGGTTTTTTGGAGCATTTGGACTTGGCACACCGCGGTAGTAATTTCTCGTTGCTCAATACTAAACTGCCCTAATCTTTGCCCATTAGCAAATACCCTTACTCCTTGTTGGCGAGATAAAGCCATAAAGTGCATTAAGTGGCGTTGTTTCTCGCGGACATCTTGCACAATATTTCCTTTAAAAAGTAAATTAGTTTCATCGATAAAAATATCTTCTTTAACTCCTAGGGGTTCCGTAGGAGGAATCGAAAAGTCAATTTGATAACGTTTTACTCATGGCAATTGGCAAGGAAAAGAGGCGTATTTATTTTCAGTGGGTAACTCATGAGCTAGCATCGCTAGAATAGCAGTTTTACCGCTACCAATAGGCCCAAAAAAAACTACTCCATTGCTTCGTTGACAAAAATTTAAGAATTCTTGATTTTGATCAATTATTAACTTTCCTTTCTGTTCTAAAATAATTAACAATAACCCACCGGACAAAATGCCAAAAATAGTTCACAAAACTGTATCAAAGAGAAATTTTAGTTTAGTTAATAAATTAGTCGAAAAAGAACTTTCCTTAGGTTGGTAAAGAAAAAAGAACAAAAGAAAAAGCGGAATAAGGAGGAAAAATTTGTAAGTTTTTAATAATTCGAAATAATTAGTTCTTCTTTTTTCTTTTTTTATTTTTGGAGAAATTTTTATTTGTTTTTCTTTCTTTGGTTTCATTTTTGTTTGATGAAATTTTGCTTAAAACTTGCTCTTGATTATTTTCATTGTTCATTTCTGACTCTTGATTAATTTGATCTAAATCTTCTTCAACCATTTCTTCTTTCTTTTTGTCTAATTTGCTTTTTTTCTTTTGTTCTTTTTTATCTCACTTTTCAACATCTTGCGGAGTTATTTTTTTATCGTTTATTCCATATTTTTTTAACTGTTTTTTTAAGCGACTAATTTGTTGCGACTTATTCCTTACTACTTCTTCTTCCTTTTCCCGCAATTTAATGTATTGTAAAATTTTGCGGTAAATATTATGATCATAATCTTTAAGACTTAAATTTTCATCACCCTCTTCGATCACTCGCAAAATAGCCTTTAATTCCTCAGCTTGTAAGTCTTCGGCAATATAATTCAATCAATTTTTATTAATTTCACGAGGGATATTCCAATGCGGATCATAAAAACTTTGGATTTCTTGGTTATCAATAGGAACTACCGTTGGTAGTAATGATTTGTGTCATAGGTCGTTAATTTGCACAAATAAAAGACTTTTGTTTTTAAAGGTAATATAAGTTAACACCTTTCAAGTCCTATTTTTTTGCACTTTAAGAACATGTTCGGGTTCAATACCATTATTAGTTCAAATAAAAGTTCCTCCTAGTTTCCCTACTTGTGCCAAATAATCTTTTAAAACTAAATAGCCTTGTTCACCAAAATTTTTTTGACACCATTTTTGCCAAGTGTTAATATCATCCAAAAAGTAGAATCATTTATTAGGAGCTCCTCATTTACCAGTCATATGGGTTTCCAAGATTTTTTTGTTGAGGGTATATGTATTTTGAGGAGTGGGGCAATTAGTAAATTTCACTCCTTGGAGATGTTTGAAAAGATGCATTAACAATCAACTTTTTCCAATCCCGCTCGAACCAGTAATTTCAATAAAACGATGTTTGCTTAATAAATTAAAAACTTGTTCTTTACTTTTTAATCTTCATATTTTCCAAATTAATCAAGCTCAATATTTTCAAAAAGCAACAAAGACTACTGAGGTAAAAAAGATGAAAGCAAAAAAAGTGTTTTTAGTCATGGATCTTAGCAGTGTTGAGTTCTACCGCGGTAAAAGTAGTGAAACTTGCCCTGATAATCTTTAACCTTCACTCCTTGGCAATTTTGACAAGTAAAAATAGCAAGTGGCGAATTAGTTTCAGTAGCAATTCAAGTGTGTTTACTCATAATACTTAAAAAAATAATGAGGATCTAATCCAGGAATATTAAAAATAAGAATCTCACTGTGAAAAACAACTGCTTTAAAAATATTCTTGGGTAAAGCAATTAGGCTGGTAATCGTCGGAGCATTCCCGTTACTTAATTTCTTTCACCGCTTACTTTGAGTGGTCAAATTCAGTCTAAATCCAATCGGAGCAAATAAGACAATGGGAATATCTTTCCCAAAGAGTTCAATTATTTTGTCTAATCAGATTTCACTGCCTAGTTTATTCCCGTAACCATTAAAAGGAGGATTACAAAGAATAAGAGTAGGTTTAAAATTCTCATTCACTTTTGACTTTTCTGCTAACAGAAAGTCGTATTCTCCCAAACGAGGATGTTCTGAGTTATTAAATCAATAAACAGCAGGATCAATATCATGTCCAACGGTGGAAAAATTATAAAGACTAGTATGCTTTCAAGGAGATAATAAATTTCCTCTGCCACAGCACGGATCGAAAATTATACTATTTTTGGGAATTTTATCTTTAAGGAGATTAAAAAGAAAATTGCTAACTTCTAGGGGTGTTTGAATATTTTAGAGTTCTTTTTCTTTAAATGGTAATTGTTTTTGGTTAGGTTATACATGAGAAGTTTGAGTAATTTCAGTAGTTGGTTTTTTTCGATTAAGGCGATTATTTAATTTCTCTATTTCACTGTCAATACTCCATAAACGTGATTCGAGAGTGTTGGTTTTGTCTTTGATTTTTTCGGTGATCTCTTTATCAAAAAGTTCTAGAGCCTGATAATAAATATCGAACTCAGTTTTTTCTCTAACTTCATGTTCTAACCATCAAAACTCTTTTTCTCCATCTTTTTTAATTCGTTCCCGAGCTGCTTTTATGCGATAATTTCAGAAATCAATGGTAAAACCTCTTGTTTCATAAAGAATTTCAGAATATTGCTCAGCTTTTTTCAGTTTTTCAGTTCAGATTTTTAACTCTTTTTCAACCTGAATTCTTTCGGTTTGGAGTTCTTCTATTTTGGTTTGGGTAATGCTTTTTTTAGTCATTTTCTCTTTTTTCGATGACTCTCCCGCGTGGTAAGGGGATTTTTAAAACTTCTTTTCTTTTGCTTTTGCAACAGTATTAAAAACTAGTTATTTTAATGTATAGTTTGTTTGATTTTCCTTTTTATTTCTTGCCATGATTATTGCAGTTTAAAAACTAGTAGCACAATTTAAAAAATTTCAATTTGTTTAGGTTTTTGACAATTGGCACAAATTTTTTCTTTTTCTCAAAAAGCTAAAAAACGAGGTCAACCTAATCATTTTTGACATTTAGTACAGTAGTTATATTTTGACATGGTATTACCTATTTCTTACCTAATTGTGATAAAAGATCATTTTTAATTTGGGAAATGAACTCTTTTTTCGTTGCTTGTTCTTTTTGATACAATTTCAAAGACCTTTCAAAAAGTTTTTGTTGCGAAATGCCTTCTTTTTGAGTAAGTAAGTGAATTTGGGCTGGTAAAAAAGGACAATCAGTGACATCCAAGAGTCAAGGAACTAACTTCGAGTTATTTTTTGCTTGTTTTTCCCGATTTTGCTCTCTCTCTCTCTCTCTCTCTCTCTCTCTTGTTTATACAGATTTAATGATCTTTCTAATACTTCCACTATCATACAATTACTTTCGCGAGCTAATTTTCTAATTTCGTTGTCAAATTCTGGGGTTACGCTGGTAGCAAATTGTACGATACGACCAGTACGTGTTTGTCGACGCCCATCCATTCTTTTAGGAGGTCTTCTGATTGAAATTTTTCTTACCGTTTCCTTGCTTTTAGTTCTGTTCATAATGCTTATTAATAATTACCTATTAACTATTTATATTATTAATTTTATATAGTTTTGTAGTGCTGAATGTATTTCTTGCTAGCACTACATAAAAATATATTATATATGTATAAGATAGCAGTCGTTAACCAAAAAGGCGGGGTAGGGAAAAGTACTATTACAGTTAATTTGGCTTATGAGTTAGCGAAAAAAAAGAAGGTCTTATTAGTGGATTGTGATCCGCAAGGACACAGCGGAGTTATTTATAATCAAGAGGAAAGCAAACGCAATTTAAAAGATTTATATTTAAATAATGCTAAGGTTGAAGAAGTGATCAGAAGTGGGTATGTTAATGATAAAAAACAAAAAAATTTGGGCGTTATCACTAGTAATATTTATTTAGCTAAAACCGCGGAGCAAATTAGTAGTAAATATCACCGGGAAAAAATATTAGAACAGCAATTAAATAGAGTAGATAATAAATATGATTACTGCTTATTAGATTGCCCGCCTAATTTTGGAATATTGACTGTTAATGCTCTCCACTATGCTGATTTGGTACTTATTCCCCTTACTAGCGACAAGGGAGCCTTGGACGGGATGGCAGACTTGTTAACTACTTGTCAAGAAATTAAAGAAAGTAAAAATTTTCTTTTTCGCATTATTTGAAATAATTATGATAGTCGGAACCGACAAACTAATAAATACGTGGAAGAAGAATTGAGTAATTGGAAAGATCAATTGTGTAATACTAAAATTCGTAAAGCCGAAGTAATTAATCAAGCACGGATCGCTAACGAGCCATTACAAATTTTTGCTCCTCATTCTCCAATTTTGAAAGATTACGAAAATTTAGCCCAAGAAATTAGTAAATGCCATGAATAGACTACAAAAAAAGGCTCAAAAAAGTAAATTAAATGTAGTGCGTGGAAGCACTACGGAGAAACTTTTAACTAGTCAAAGAAAATTAGTTTATCCGGTTAGTTTTCGTTTGGATGCTAATAACTGAGATAGGTTAAATAAATTATTAGAGCAAGTTAACGAGGAAAGAGTCAAAAAAATTAACTTAACTCAATTAGTAAAGGCTCTAATCTATCACGGACAATTCCTGAAAAAAGAGCAATGGGAAAAGGGGTTAAAAGAAACTAGTATTGATTAATTACTAATATTATTCAGTAATATTAGAAAAAAAACACCAAAAACCTCTTCCCCCACACTATAACTAATTAAAACCTACGAATTACCTATTAACTATTTTACTTATCCTTTTGTAGTGCAATTCTGCACTACATTAAAAGAAAAAAACTTAGTTTAAAATGTTTACTTATAAAATATTACATATAGAGTAAAAACGATATAGGAATAAAATGATTAAAAGTTTTGCTGATAAAGATACCGAAGCAATTTGGCAAAGGAAATATGTTAAAAAGTTTGCTGCTCATATTGCAGAGGAAGCGAGAGAATGTTTAGTAATGATTAATAACGCTAAGCATTGAAATGATTTACGCTTTCCTCCGAGTAATAATTTACACAAATTAAAAGATGATCGGCAAGGACAATTTTCTATTTCAATTAACAAAAAATATCGAATTTGCTTTATTTGAGGATCAGATAACCATGCTTATAAAGTAGAAATAGTGGATTATCATTAATAAATAAAAAGAAGTAAAACTGTTCGCCATGAATAAACAAAAAAAAATTTTACCTACTCATCCGGGAAAAATTTTACAAAACCGTTTTCTAACTCCCTTGGGGATTAGCCAAAGTCAATTGGCTCGGGACATTAATGTTTCCATCCGTAAAATTAATGAAATTTGCCGAGGTAAGCGACCAGTCACCCTTGACACCGCCGCTCGTTTAGCCATTTATTGACC